CCTGCCTCGGCCTGAGTAGCTGGGACTACGGGCGGCCGCCATCACGCCCAGCTAATTTTTTTTTTTTTTTTCTAGTAGAGAACGGGATTTCACCGTGTTAGCCAGGATGATCTTGATCTCGTGACCTCGTGATCCACCCGCCTCGGTCTCCCGAAGTGCTGGGATTACAGGTGTGAGCCAGCGTGCTCGGCCTGCTTTTCTTTTTTGAGGGGAGGTGTTTGTGTGTATTTCTTTTAAGTGATTACGTGAACTCTTACTTTTCTTTGGCGACTTGCTATTTGTTTCCTAAGCTGGCATTTCATAACTATTTACCCACAAAGGGGAGGCCACATGGTGCTGAGAAAAAGCTCTGGGTTTGAGTTACTTGACAACTCTCACCTTTGAAAGAGGACTTGTACCTTTGTGCCTTTTTTTTTTTTTTTAACTTCAACTTATATCTTCTTTCTTTTCCTTTTCCTTTTTCTTTTCTTTCTTTCCTTTTTTTTTTTTTTTTGAGACAGAGTCTTGCTCTGTCGCCCAGGCTGCAGTGCGGTTGCGCAGTCTCGGCTTACTCCAATCTCTGCCTCCTGGGTTCAAGTGATTCGCCTGCCTCAACCTCCCAAGTAGTTGGCAACACCCGGCTGTTTTTTTGTTTTTAGTAGAGGCAGGGTTTCGCCATGTTGGCCAGGCTGATCTGGAACTCCTGACTTCAAGTGATCTGCCTGCCTCAGCCTCCCAAAGTGCTGGGATTACAGGCGTAAGCCGCCACACTCGGCCCCATTTTTCTCTTTTTTCGGTTATGAAATTTCCTGCTGTGCATGAAATAATTTCTAAGATCCCTTCTAGCTCCAACAAATAGTTCTATGATCTTTATTTCTAATGAATCTTTCCTCCTCAGAGCCTAAATAATGCAAGTTAGAATTTCTTTTCATTTGAAAACTAAGAAATATGTATTTGGTTGTATGCTGCTATTATATACAATTTTTGCTCTTTTGTTTTTGGACTATTGCTGTTAATCATGTAGCTATTCACAGAATAGGATCACTCACTAGTTCAATTTTTGCACATTACTAATCAAGACTCGCTTGCTGTGGAATCCACAGGGACATACTGGGATTATTCAGTTATTTAAAAATTTATTTGGCTGGGCGCGGTGGCTCACACCTGTAATCCCAGCACATTGGAAGGCCAAAATGGGCAGATCACCTGAGGTCAGAAGTTCGAGACCAGCCTGACCAACATGGAGAAACCTTGTCTCTACTAAAAATACAAAAATTAGCCAGGTATGGTGGCACATGCCTGTAATCCCAGCTACTTGGGAGGCTGAGGCAGGAGAATTGCTTGAACCTGGGAGGCGGAGGTTGCAGTGAGCCAAGATCATACCATTGTAATCCACCCTGGGCAACAAGAGTGAAACTCCGTCTCAAAAAAAAAAAAAAAATTATTTATAAAGCCAGTTTAGCATTCAATTTATATTTTGGCACATAGGTAACTAAGATGGTGACCACCTCGTCTGTACAGGCTTCTGATTGTTACCAGGCTCAGGCAAGTATGTTTTCTTTGCCTACCATAACTAAATTACAAAAATTCAGAATGAAATGAATAATCTGGAATATTTACCACTATCAGTAAAAGCCAGGTTTTTTTTCTTCCGAATAGAGTTAGAGTGCACATTGAAGTGATTTGCTTAATTTCAATAATCAGATTTGTAATTTCTGTGAAGATATTGATCACTTTATTCTCAATGTAAAGATTAAAGATGTCATCTTATTTGTGGATAATCCATGGGGGCAATAGCAAGAAGTCCCTTTTTCACCATAAAGAAACCCAAGCGCTTGGGTAAGGTCCCCATCATGGCATTGAAACCATGGTGGATTAGAGCAGAGGTGTAGAGTGAGTTTAAGGAGACTGGATTGCTTGAGCCCAGGAGTTCGAAACCAGCCCAAGCAACATAGCAAGGCCCCGTCTCTAAAAAAAAAAAAAAAAAAAAAAAAAATTTGGCTGTGCTTCGTGGCGCAAGCCTGTAGTTCCAGCTACTCAGGAGGATGGGGCAGGAGGCTCCCTCGAGCCCAAGAGTTCCAGGCTGCAGTCAGCTAAGATCATGCCACTGTACTCCAACCTGGGTGATAGAGCCTCTCTGTCTTAAAAAAGGAGACTGGCTTCATCACTCACAGGAAATCACTCTTACTTGGATTTTTTCCCCCTTTTGAGTTATCATTCAGTATATATGAGGTTTGCCTCCAGGAAGAGAATGCTCAGCCAAGCCAACTCAAGCATCTTGTACCTTGAGAGTGACATCTTTCACTGTCACTATTAGTAGGTTGCTATCCTTGTTTGTATGCTGCCAGCTCTTTTGAATGAATTAGAATGAATTTGTCTTCCCAAGTCTTGTCAACTGTGGGAACCTGATGTGACTGAGACTTCAGGCTAGAGCCTGGGCGGTGTGGTATGGATTTACTGGGTAACGCATGGTGTGTCATCTCCCGATGGACCTTAACTGTGCATCTTCTGCTGACCTCCCTACATCATTTGAAGCCCCTTCCTTTTCACTTTTGATTCTAGAAGACTGCTTTTGAAAAAATAGGCACATTTGGCCGGGCGCAGTGGCTCACACCTGTAATCCCAGCTCTCAGGGAGGCAGAGGCAGGAGGATAGCTTGAGCCCAGGAGTTTTCGAGACCTGCCTGGGTAATATAGCGAGACCCCGTTCTCCAGAAAAAGGAAAAAAAAGAAAAAAAGAAAAAATAGGCACATTTTAAAACATTTTTAGGAATTCAGATGCATCACTAAATATTTTTTTAAAGTGGTGCAAGTATGAAAGGTGTTTAAATTAAAGGACTCTGAGCCCAGTGCAGTGGCTCACACCTGTAATCCCAGCACTTAGGTAGGCTGGAGCAGACAGATCACTTGAGGTCAGGAGTTCAAGACCAGCCTGGCCAATGTGGTGAAATCCCATCTCCACTGAAAATACAAAAATTAGCTGGGCGTGGTGGTGCACACCTGTAATCCCAGCTACACAGGAAGCAGAGGCAGGAGAATAGCTTGAACCTGGGAGGCAGAGGTTGCAATAAGCCGAGATCCCACCACTGCATTCCTGGATGGCAGAGGAAGACTCCATCTAAAAAAAATGAAGGGCTCTAGGCTGGCCTGGTGGCTCATGCCTGTAATCCCAGCACTTTGGGAGGCCAAGGCGGGGCAGATCGAGACCAGCCTGGCCAACATGGTGTAACCTCATGCCTACCAAAAACACAAAAAATTAACCAGACGTCATGGTGGGCGCCTGTAATCCCACCTACTCGGGAGGTTGAGCAGGAGAATCACTTGAACCCAGAAGGTGGAGGTTGCAGTGAGCCAAAATTTCACCACTGCACTCCAACCTGGGCAACAGAGCGAGACTCCATCTAAAAAAAAAAAAAAAAAAAAAAGCTGCGCATGGTTGCACATGGCCATAACCCCAAGTACTCAGGAGGCTGAGGCACGAGAATAGCTTGAACCTAGGAGATGGAAATTGCAGTGAGCTGAGATCGCACCACTGCACTCCAGCCTGGGAGACAGAGAAAGACTCCGTTTCAAAAAAAATTAAAGAGCTGATACCTTTGCAGTGGGAAATTCTTAAAAAGGAAAGTTTTAAGCCAAATGCCAATTTTTAACTGATCACAATGTGATGTTGTCCACAGAGGCACAATGTATATTAGTACTTTCTTCCATATTTAGTACATAATGAATGCCTTTGGTACTCATTTTCTGAATGGTTTGCTCTGGTAAGAAAGAAAAAAAAGCAAGAGGCAGCTTTGCCTGCACTAGTGATGGCAGCGAGGTTGTACCACCAAAAAGCTTCATTCCCATGGTTCCTCCCTCTGGCATCCAAGAAGTTGCAGAGTCCCTTGTGTAGTTCAGAGAGCAGGGGTATTTCTCAGGATCTCAGAGTCATCAGCTGCTTTGAAGGTGTGCTTCTTTCACCTGTGTTTTAAAGCCCTGCCCCAGGGTGGTCCCTGCCTCCCTTGGGTACAGTGCCCTATGGCACCTTGGGTGCTCTAGTTCCAGGTTTGCCTCGCTTCTCCTCTCAGGGTGTTCTGGAGAAACAATGCTTTTAAGTTGACGGGTCCCATCCTCTGGCAGTTCCAGATTTTATCTCAAGAATCACCAGTGCGACCATATATACATTCTTAGATTGCTGTTTTTATTTTTAATAATTATTAAATACTGTACATTTTCTCACAAAAATTAGTATAGCTACAGAAAAGTATGCTTACATTTCATATACATTAAAATGACTTTTAGATCAGGTGTGGTGGCTCACGCCTATAATCCCAGCACCTTGGGGGCTGAGGCGGGCGGATTACTTGAGTTTGAGACAAGCCTGGTCAACATAGGGAAATCTTGTCTCTACTGAAATTACAAAAATTAGCTGAGCATGGTGGTGGGTGCCTGTAATTCCAGCTACTCAGGAGGTTGAGGCAGGAGGATGACTTGAACCCAGGAGGTAGAGGTTGCAGTGAGCTGAGATCCCACCACTGCACTCCAACCTGGGTGATAGAGCGAGACTCTGTATCAAAAATAGACCAGGTGCAGTGGCTCACGCCTGTAATCCCAGCACTTTGGGAGGCTGAGGTGGGCAGATAACCTGAGGTCAGGAGTTCGAGACCCGCCTGGCCAACATGATGAAGCCCCATCTCTACTAAAAACACAAAAATTAGCCAGGTGTGGTGGTGGGCGCCTGTAATCCCAGCTACTCGGGAGGCTGAGGCAAGAGAATCGCTTGAACCCAGGAGGTGGAGGTTGCAGTGAGCTGAGATTGTGTCACTGCACTCCAGCTTGGGTGACAGAATGAGACTCCGTCTCAAATAATAATAAAGTAAATAAAATAACTTGATTTGCATTAGATAACTTGATACCAATTTGAGAAACAATTAAGTCTTCATTTTAAACAGCCTGCCCTGAGTTTGGCAAAGATTTAGTCTACTGATTCTCGTTAGTGTATCTAATTGAGTGTCTTAAACAAACATCACCTCACTCTTACAGGGCTCGTGCGATCCGCTTCAGACAGGATGGTAATGAAGCCGTCGGAGGATTCTTCTCTCAGATTGGGCAGCTGTACATGGTGCACCATCTTTGGGGTATCTGTTTTTTCCTTTTTGAGTTACTGGGATTTAAGAGTTCATTACTAAGTTGTACTGGGCAGTAGAGCACATCTTGAGTCAGTAACCTTAACCACTACAGCAAATCCAGACGTCACAGGGGGACAGTCTGTACGGGGCTGTCCGGAACTAGTGAGGTCAACAGTACAAGTCCATAGATTGATGGCATTAGTGAGCTGAAAGTGAGTGGGGATGATGGGGAAAGGAATAAGGGGTGAAGCAAGCAGCCATGGAAAAAGGAGGCCAGGGAAGTCAGAGTGCCTTCCACAGAGTGGTCCCAGCCTTTCTTTGTAGAGTGACTTCTTAATTCCTTGGCAGAGGCAGGCCTGCATTTTACCCAGAGCGGCAGCTTCCTGCACATACTCACTGTCTGCCTTTGTAGACGTGGTTCCACTGTCTTAGGACATGGACCCCCTCACCTTCTCCATCCCCACCCACTTTTGTTTGGCACCATCTTTGGTATCTTTCCCGTCCTGCCCCAGATGTCACCCCTCCCCAGTAGTGAACATCATCACTCCTCCTGAGCCCCCAGAGCCCTGTGTGGTGCTGGTTATTACTGTTGCACTGTGTATGGTGTGCAACCCTCTCAGGCATCCCCGTCTATGAATAAGCACAGGTGCTAGAAGGGCCGGATTGGATGGAGGAAGTTTCCATCCCTTTGGCTGTTGGGCCGAGGTCAAGCCAGGTGCATGCTCCATTCACATCAGCACCTGTAGCTGCTCACAGAGGGCCTCCCAGATGCAGGATCCTGGAATTGCAAACAGGCAGGCACCAGAGTGTGAATGGCGGAGCTCTCACAGAGGCTGTGGGGAACACAGGGCAGACCTCCTGTCTCTGCCCTGTGGGGAGGACTCAAGGCTTCACAGAGCAACAGCAAGATGAAGAGGATTGCTTGAGGCCAGGAGTTTGAGGCAACAGTGAGCTATGACTGTGCCACTGCACTCCAGCCTGGGCAATACAGCAAGACCCTGTCTCAAAAAAAAGGTAATTAAGAAGATATTGGCTGGGCACAGTGGCTCATGCCTATAATCCCAGCACTTTGGGAGGCCGAGACAGGTGGATCACCTGAGGTCAGGAGTTAAGAGACCAGCCTGGCCAACATGGTGAAACCTCACCTCTACTAAAAATACAGAAAATTAGGCATGGTGGTGCATGCCTGTAATCCCAGGTACACAGGAGGCTGAGGCAGTAGAATCCGTTGAACTCAAGAGGCAGAGGTTGCAGTGAGCTGAGATTGTGCCACTGCACTCCAGCTCGGGAAACAGAGCGAGATTCCGTCTCAAAAAAAATAAAAGGAAAGTAAAAAAGAAAGAAGGCATCTGGATGAGATACCTGTGAATTGTACCACGACACAGGTGATCCCCCTCCACCTGAAGCGCCTTTCTTCCCATTCCTACGTCAGTGATGTCCGTTTCAACTTCAACACCCACCTGGTCAACTTGCACCTTTCCCACAGCTCTCCCATTGCCTGCCCTGCTCCCCTGTATACCGTGTCCTTGCATGGGCCACAGCACTCTCCACGGCTGACCTTGCCTGTCTCATATCCTGGGGCTTCACCGCATGGAACACACCCGCTACCCAGATCAGTGTAGTGAGAGATAAATGTTGAGTAAAATTGATCTGACATTGCTTATCTGTGGTCTCACAGTTTCTGGTCATGAATTTAACATGTTATTGGAGAAGTTCACGTGGTTTATAAAGGTATATCTTAGATTCACTAGATTTTAAAGCTTAAGAGGGAATTATGTCCAGATGTGGTGGCTCATGCCTCAAATCCCAGCAGTTTTGGAGGCTGAGTCGGGAGGATCACTAGAGTCCAGGTGTTTGAGACCAGCCTGGGCAACATAGTGAGACCCCATCTCAAACAAGCAAATAATTTTTTTAACTTAAGAATGGGCCAGGCGTGGTGGCTCACCCCTGTAATTCTAGCACTTTGGGAGATTGAGGCAGTTTGATGATCTGAGCGCAGGAGTTTGACGTCTGCCTGGTTACAAAAAAATACAAAAATTAGCCAATGTGGTAGCGCTTTCCTGTAGTCCTAGCTATTCAGTGGGCTGAGGTAGAAGGATCACTTGAGCATAGGAGGTCAAGGCCGTGCTGAACCATCGTGCTACTGCGCTCCAGCCTGGCTGACAGAATGACCCTGTCTCAAAAAAAAAAAAAAAAAAAAAAGACTGAAAGTTTGCTTTTCCCACGTGGCCTAATATAATTTTGCTCAGTGTTTCCCCAGCCCAGTATATTACACACCTGAAGTAGTCCCTGAGAAAACTAGATGCCCAGGTGAAGCAAGACCTTAACATATGTATGGGTGGAATGCAGGGTATATGTTTTAAGTCTTACTTCTCTGTGTGGTTATTTTTAAGCTTACAGGGATCTTCAGACCAGGGAAGACATACGGAATGCAGCATGGCACAAACATGGCTGGGAGGAATTGGTATATTACACAGGTAATCTCTTAACAGCCATGAAATAACGCTTTTTGTCTTACTGTTTCAATCATGTTCTTTCACCCTGACACTAATAGGTGGCTTTTGTAATAGTATGTTACTAGGATAGTGAGTCATCAGGTTGGGAGGGGAAGGGAGATAGTCAATTTTTCTCTAATACTTACATGACTTTTTTCAATAAAGCAGAATATCCATTCTTTCAAATATGTTTATCATCTGTTACAGTTTTCAGACCCTTGGATGTTGTAAATTGTACATCATTACCTTTTTTTGTAGATTTCTATATTGTCTGAAAACTTATTACACAAATAAAATTTTTTCTAAGCTTTCCTTTTCCATCAAAATTGTTAGTATCCCAAATCAGAACTTAATATATCAATTAAAGAGTGATTTTGAAATTAGATAAACTTACTGTATGTACAGTAAGTATACATGGGTACATAATACATGCATGTGCACATACATAAGTATATTATGAAACCCTGTTTGCTTGATTTTTATAAGAAAACAGTTGGCTGAATATAACCCAGCTGCATTGGTAGAGGTAATCAGTACCAGCCATATTGCATGGCAAGTATATTTCTGGCCAGGCGCAGTGGCTCATGCCTGTATTCCTAGCACTTTGGGAGGCCGAGGCAGGCAGATCACCTGAGGTTGGGAGTTCGAGACCAGCCTGACCAACATGATAAAACCTGTCTCAATTTGAGAGGCTGAGGCAGGAGAATCGCTTGAACCTGGGAAGTGGAGATTGTGCCACTGCACTCCAGCCTGGATGACAAAGCAAGACTCTGTCTCAAAAAAAAGAAAAACAACAGTATATCTCAGCCCATATACTACCAAGAAAATAAAAGAGTAATTTGTCCTAGAAAGTAGATGTTACTTTGTCTTTCAGTTTAAGAGATTATATAACATATAATTGCATGTTATAATTATATAATTTTATTTGATTTTGCTGCTTACTCAAAGAACGTTTGAGAAATCACCATTTTTCTCACAATAAGACAATACAGACTTTCCCCACCTCCTACAAATAAAACAAATCTCCAGGTAGCATCTGTTGTAATTTTTTCTTCCTTTTTTTTTTTTTTGAGACAGAGTCTTGTTCTGTCCCCAGGCTGGAGTGCAGTGACGCGATCTCGGCTCACTGCAACCTCTGCCTCCCGGGTTCAATCGATTTCTCCTGCCTCAGCCTCTTGAATAGCTGGGATTACAGGCAGGCACCACCACACCCAGCTAAGTTTTGTATTTTTAGTAGAGACGGGGTTTCACCCTGTTGGCCAGGATGGTCTGGATTTCCTGACCTTGTGGTCCACCTGCCTTGGCCTCCCAAAGTGCTGGGATTACAGGTGTGAGCCATCGTGCCCAGCTGATGTGTTGTAATTTTAATAGCATCTTGTAGGATGCCAGCTGATACAGGGCCCACTTCTATATTTCTGCCCTTGAGGTTAATCCTGTATATTATGACATTCTCTTGTTTTCAAGCAGCACAATCTGTCTGTTAGTGTCATTTACCATAATGTGTTTAGAAAAGAACAAGTGAAGTAACCCTGATCCTATTTTCAGTTCCACTTATTCAGGAAATGGAATCCAGAATCATGATCCCACTGAGGACGTCGCCCCTCCAGTAAAGCTGCAGAGTTTCTATGTGCCTACACACATTTCTGTGGCAAGTGTTTGGCATAAATTAATTTTAATTGTATATCAAGTGGAAAAGAAACACTGAGGTTTAAGCTGCTGTATATAGCTTGTGAGAACCTCTTTTCTTTAAAATTTACACAATCACAAGAAAGGAAAGAATTACAGTTGGACTGATTGTGACAGTGCCCTGTTGTCCTCTTTGAAACACCCCCGTGTTGTCCAGTGTACCTTATAACACTTAGCCACTTCTCCCCACCCTCCAGGAGGGGTCCACATTGAATTCTGAATCATCTTGAAAATAAGATTCCAACCACAAAAACAATTAGCCATTTCTTTACTAAAAAACAAAAAACAAATCTGTTTTATAATTACAGATTTTTAGACAAATTTCTTGTATCAGGAAGAAATACAAATTTTGTCATGTTTCTCAAGCAGTTTTTCTGAGTAGTTTCTGAGGAAGAACAAATTACGAGTGTGCCCAATAACTGAAAATGTTTTAACTCACTCTCATTTGTAAGCAGTCCACATAGTAGACAATGGGTTTTCCAAGCTGGGCAAGGTACATTTAATCAGAAAATCAGTTTCCTATCATGTATCGTGATGTTTCAGTGTGAGACACAAAAACAATGGCTTGAAACTGGTGTATCATATGTGATTTTGAAATGAACACCTTGAATAGCACTAATTTTTATTTGTGATATTTTTCTATAACAAAACAAGTAGCACTAGGAAAAGAGGTTTTATTTTGTAAACGATCATTTGTGACCTCAGACACTCTCTGGCTAATATTTTAATAAGCTCACAGCAGATCATTCTGAGATCATGGATGAGGGGTGGTGCATGTTGAGATTTAAATTGGCGTAAAGCTGCATCCTTTTTGTCTAGCTGTTTGATTTCATTGTTTAATATGGTGTGCCAATTTCGTGACTGTTACCATGTGAAAGTCCTGTTGAAATGAACAATCATGTCTGCCCCACAGTCAAGGATGCCTCTGTGAAGTGTGAGTGAATCTCATACCCAATGTCAGACTTTTACATGTCAATGATTTTCTCCAAGAACATAGAAAAGTCAATAAAATCCTCTTAATTTTCACATATCACGTTTGGATTTTTGTTTTTTTTTTTAATTTGTTCTGAGAATGACAGACGTGCTGTGAATGACCCTGTCACTCTTGCAAAATAGCTTGTCACAAAGGATTGAAGGATTGAAGGAAGTGAGGAAGTCAGCTGGCTTCTGGGGAAAATCCTTCCAAAGGAACAAAGTATGAGGCCCTGGGCAAGGTCATGTCTGGTATGTGCCGAGGGCAGCAGAAGCCAGTGGCGGAAGCAGACATGAGGGAGAGCATGCTGGGACATGAGCTCAGAGCTTACAGGGCTGGATCCCTTGAGTGTTGGAGGCCATTAGAAAGACCCTAGTGGCCAGGCCCAATGGCTCACACTGGTAATTCCAACACTTTGGGAGGCCGAGGCCCAAGGATCCCTTGAGTGCAGGAGTTTGAGACCAGCCTGGGCAACATGAATGAAACCTCATCTCTACAAAAAATCGAAAAATTAGCTGGGCATAGTAGCATGTGCCTGTAGTCCCAGCTACTCAGGAGGCTGAGGCAGGAGGATTGCTTGAGCCCAGGAGGTCGAGGCTGTAATGAGCTGTGATCATGCAACTGCACTGCAGCCTGGGCAAGAGAGCTAGACCCCGAATCAAAAAAATAATAAGGCTGGGCGCAGTGACTCACACCTGTAATCCCAGCACTTTGGGAGGCCAAGGCAGGCAGATGACTTGAGGCCAGGAGTTTGAGACCAGCCTAGCCAACGTGGAAAACCCTGTCTCTACTAAAAACACAAAAATTAGCCGGATGTGGTGGCACATGCCTATAATCACAACTACTTGGGAGGCTGAGGTAGGAGAATTGCTGAACCTGGGAGGCAGAGATTGCAGTGAGCCAAGAATGTGCCACTGCACTCCAGCCTGGGCGACAGAGCGAGACTCCATCTGCAAACAAAAAATAATAAAAAGACCTTGACTTTTATTATAAGGGAGATGGGAGATGAGATCTGCTGGAGGCTTTCAAGCAGAGGAAAGGCATGATCTGACTTCTATTTTCTTTTTTTTTTTTTTTGAGATAGAATCTTGCTCTGTCGCCCAGGCTGGAGTGCAGTGGCACAATCTCGGCTCGCTGCAACCTGTGCCTCCTGGGTTCAAGCAATTCTCCTGCCTCAGCCTCCAAGTAGCTGGGACTACAGGCATGTGCCACCACACCTGGCTACTTTTTTAGTGTTTTTAGTAGAGACAAGGTTTTACCGTGTTAGCCAGGATGGTCTCGATCTCCTGACCTCATGATCCTCCCGCCTTGGCCTCCCAAAGTGCTGAAATTACAGGCGTGAGCCACCATGCCCAGCCCTATATTTTCAATAGTAACTTCGATAAGGAGTAGCAGTAAAAGTAAGCAGAATGGGCCAGGCACGATGGCTCATGCCTGTAATCCTAGCACTTTGGGAGGCCAAGCAAGGCAAGGCAGATCACCTGAGGTCAGTTCAAGACCAGCCTGACCAACATGCAGAAACCCCATCTCCACTAAAAATACAAAATTAGCCGGGCGTGATGGTGCATGCCTGTAATCCCAGCTACTTGGGAGGCTGAGGGAAGAGAATCACCTGAACCCGGGAGGCAGAGTTTGCAGTGAGCCAAGATCGCACCATTGCACTCCAGCCTGGGCAACAAGAGTGAAACTCCGTCTCAAAAAATAATAAGTAGGCAGAATGGCCAGATTCTAAATATATTTTGATTGTAGAGCCAACGTGAATTCCTGAACAAGTGATTGTGGAGTGTGAGTGAAAGAAAAAAGTGATTTTAGTTTTTGGCCCGAGCACTGGGAAGGCTGGAGAAGGTGGAACAGATTTGGGGGAATGAAGATCAGATATTCTATTCTACTTATGCTGAGTTGGAGATATCTCTGCACAGATCCAGGGGGAGATGTCAAGTAGGTCTTGGTTATGAGTCTGGAATTTAAGAGAGCCTTCTGGCCTGGAGATGCACATTTGCAAATTGTCCACATAAGTTGAAGTGAGGCAGCCAGATGTGGTGGCTCACGCCTGTAATCCCAGCACTTTGGGAAGCCGAGGCGGGAGGATCACCTGAGGTCAGGAGTTCGAGATGAGCCTGGCCAACATGGTGAAACCCCGTCTCTACTAAAAATACAGAAATTAGCTGGGTATGGGGGTGGGCACCTGTAATCCCAGCTACTTGGGAGGCTGAGGCAGAAGAATCGCTTGAACCCAGGAGGTGGAGGTTGCAGTGAGCTGAGATCGCACCACTGCACTCCAGCCTGAGTGACAGAGCAAGACCCTGTCTCAAAAAAAAAAAAAAAAAAAAAAAGACGAGCTCACCAAGCGAGTGACTATAGTCAGATGAGAGGATCAAGGTGAGGAGGAACCTGCAAAAGAGACTAAGAAACCACCAGGGAACTCAGCAGACAGAGACCAGCCAGGCCAACAAAGCAAAATCCTGTCTCTACTAAAAATTCAAAAATGAGCTGGGTGTGGTGGTACACACCTGTAATCCCAGCCACTTTGGAGGCTGAGGCAGGATAATCACTTGAACCTGGGAGGCAGAGGTTGCAGATATTGTGCCACTGCACTCCAGCCTGGGGGACAGAGTGCGATTCCATCTCAAAAAAAAAAAAGAGGAGGAAGATTTTTAACTCAGTGTCTCAGAGGCAGTAGCTTCCCTCTGGGACAGCCCATACCGCAAGATAATCAGTTACTTTCCTGCCCTTTTAGTGTTCTATAAGTAACATTCTTAGAATGGCTTGTATTTCTAGGTGACTAAAACTAAGATAGATAGATAGATAGATAGATAGATAGATAGATAGATAGATAAATTCTTCTCTTTCTTTGGATATTTACCTGACAAGCTTCCGCTGATATCAAGTAGTGGTTTTGTTTTGTTTTAGAGATAGTCTTGCTTTGTCACTCAGGCTGGAGTGCAATGGCGTGACAGCTCACTGCAGCCTCGACCTCCTAGGCTCAGGTGACCCTCCCGCCTCAGCCTTTTGAGTAGCTGAGACTACAGTGCATGCACCGTGCCTGGCTAAGTTTTAATTTTCTGTAGACACAGGGTTTCCTTACGTTGCCCAAGCTGGTCTCAAACTCCTGGGCTCAAGCAGCCCTCCTGCCTGGGCCTCCCAAAGTGTTGAGATTACAGGCATTAGCCACTGCGCTTGGCCACCCATTGCTTTAATTTAGGGCCTTTAAGATGGACAGCACCCCTCCAATGATTAGGAGAGGCCCAAGATGGAAATAAAGAGTTTATCACTTGGCCAGGCATGGTGGCCGATGCCTGTCCCAGCATTTTGGGAGGCCGAGGCAGGAGAATCACTTGAGTACAGGAGTTGAAAACCAGCCTGGGCAATTTCTGTAGACCCTGTGTCTACAACAAATTTAAAAATTAGCCAGGTGTGATGGTCTGTGTCTGTGGTCCCAGCTACCTGAGAGGCTGAGGCAAGAGGATCACTTGAGCCTGGGACGTCAAGGCTGCAGTGGGCTGTGATCGTGTCACTCTACTCCAGCCTGGGTGATGAAGCCAGAGCCTGTCAAAAAACAAAACAATAAAACAACCAGTTTATCACTTAAAGTTCCTAGGGATACACAATACTCCTGGAGGTCATACACAGGAGGTCAAAAAGAGACTTGGGGGCCAGTGGCTTTAGTGGGGTCCTGGGCGTCACCCAAACAGGTTTCCCCTTGGAGATTTTAATTGGTGGGTTTAAAGCAGGCAGGTGGCCGGGTGAGATGGCTCATGCCGGCAATCCCAGCACTTTGGGAGGCTGAGGCAGATGGATCACCTGAGGTCAGGAGTTTGAAACCAGCCTGGCCAGCATGGTGAAACCCCTGTCTCCACTAAAAATACAAAAATTAGCTGGGCGTGGTGGTGGGCACCTGTAGTCCCAGCTACTTGGGAGGCTAAGGTAGGAGGATCGCTTGAGCCTGGGAGATCAAGGCTGCAGTACGCTGAGATTGCACCACTGCACCCCAGCCTGGGCAACACAGACAGACCCTGTCTCAAAAAATAAAGCAAGCGGTCATGAGTTCCAGGAGGTCTTGCAGTGACTGAATGGTGGTCACTGCAGCATATCTGCCTAGTCTGTGTGGGGTGTGAGGGTCAGCGGGGCCACCTGAACAGACTGCATGGAATTGTCCCATGGGAAGGTGGCCACCAGGGGGCAGTTGTGTAAGGCAGACTTCTGGATCCACCACACTGAGGAACTGGGGGGTCAGGGAGTAGAACTGGAAACAGTGTCAAGAGTGACCAAGTTGGCTGGGCGCTGTGGCTCACGTCTGTAATCTCAGTACTTTGGGAGGCTGAGGCAGGTAGATCACCTGAGGTCAGGAGTTTGAGGCCAGCCTGACCAATATAGTGAAACCCCGTCTCTACTAAAAATACAAAAATTAGCTGGGCATGGTGGTGCACGCCTGTGACCCCAGCTACTCAGGAGGCTGAGGCAGAAGAATTGCTTGAACCCGGGAGGCAGAGCTTGCAGTGAGCCGAGATCACACCACTGCACTCCAGCCTGGGCGACAGAGCAAGACTCCATCTCAAAAAATAATAATTCACTAAAAAATTTTTATTTATTTATTTATTTTTTTTTTTTTTTGAGATGGAGTCTGGCTGTGTCGCCCAGGCTGGAGTGCAGTGGCCGGATCTCAGCTCACTGCAAGCTCCGCCTCCCGGGTTTACGCCATTCTCCTGCCTCAGCCTCCGGAGTAGCTGGGACTACAGGCGCCCGCCACCTCGCCCGGCTAGTTTTTTGTACTTTTTTTTTAGTAGAGACGGGGTTTCACCGTGTTAGCCAAGATAGTCTCGATCTCCTGACCTCGTGATCCGCCCGTCTCGGCCTCCCAAAGTGCTGGGATTACAGGCTTGAGCCACCGCGCCCGGCCTATTTATTTTTTTTATTTTTTGAGACAGGGTCTCACTCTGTCACCCAAGAGTACAGTGGCAGGATTTCGGCTCACTGCAAGTCCACCTCCCGGGCTCAAGCAATTCTCCTGCCTCAACCTCCCGAGTAGCTGGGATTACATGCGTGCGCCACCAAGCACA